AAGGTAAAAGGATCAGGCTTATTCACTCTGAGCAAATCAAGCACCTTGTACCCAGAGGGGCATCTCAGTCCTAGCAATACTGTTGTTTTACTAATTAGGAACAAGCAATGGTGCCCATTCCTTCAATGAAAGAACTCAAGCCAATAGCATGACCACCGATTATCAGGTCCAAGTAACTATTTAGATAGATATTCACTGCCAAACCACCTGCATATTGATCAGTCAGCAGCTACTCGAAGCTATTTATGGAGAGCACAACAGCTGAAGAGGAGTTATTCATAGAGAGGAAGATGACATGGGAGATGTCAGTAGCTATTTCTTCATACTGAAATATTAAAAATACATCTGTATGCAGCTGTAGGCTCCCTAACTTATAAAATTAGTATTGCAACACACAATTAGTATTGCAAGACAACCCTACCTATGATTAAAATAATCATAAAAAAAAAGAAACTCTGCCAGCCTGACTCCTACAAGAAAATCTCTCTTCCACCCCTACGTTGTTCCAGGAAGCATACCCGCATCCCTCTCCAGAAAGACAGCTGAACAGATGTCTTTGCAGCATGCCTGGAAAGTGACCAAATTCAGGCTATTTTGGACCAGCAGGAGAAGCAAATTTCAGAATCCCAGAGACCACCCCGACCACGACCCCTTCTCTTCTGTTAGGCATTCGTATCTCTCTTGGTGGCAGACAGCTCTTCTGTGAAGTGGGTGCCAGCAATGCTGGTTTTCCATGAACTCTGACTGTCGAGTACTGCACTGGGTATATTCTAGCCCACGGTTTAGATATGGACAACTTGCATGTCAGGTCTCTTGACCTCGGGAGAATTTCAGCATTGTGGAACTAGAATAAGGCCTGGTAAAAACAAATCACTAAGATGCCAATACAGCCTCAGAAAAAAAGTGCAAGTACTGTAGAGCTGCTGGACTAACAATATGTCCCAAGTCTGTTCAGACCCTTCTTAAAGGCACAGGTTATTCTTCAAGCAGCAACAAAAAAATCCCTATAAACTTCCAAAAGCCTCCTGAACACTAAGCAGAGCCATGTGCATTAACAGATTAGAAACTTCTCTTGGCTTTGTCCTGGGATAGCTGTCCTTCATGCACAGGACTCCATGTTTCTCAGGGCCAATCGCCCACTTCAAATTCTCAGCCATCAGTGCCTCCCCTCCATGCTTGACGCACCTTGGAGGAGTCCACCCCCATGGTTGGTTGACGTGACTCTTTCAGGGGATCCTGGCCTTGCTGACTCTTGGCTGAAACAGCTCCTCCCGTGACTGTACTCCATCCACGGCAACTCTTTAGGTGTGTTGAGACTTATCGCATGGCCAGAATTTCCTCGCTGCTGCTGTGTTGTTCAGAAACCTTTCAGAGCATCCAGGTGTCTGACAAAGGACTGTGTTATTCTTTGCCTGAGCCCTGGGTCATGGAGTCCAGTCTCCTGTGTTCACAGGTGATGATTTATCCAAGGGGAGGGGGGGACACAAGGTCTTTGGCTCTGCTCCCTGTTGCACACAACAAGATGCAAAACATTCTGGAAGTAAGAACAACCCTACAACGTGCTATGGGAAAAGAGGGGAGACCAGAAGCACTATTAATGCCTTGGCCACTGCATCAGCAGAGGTTAAATGTGCTCAGATCTTAGGGAGAGACCATACCTCCCACTGCAGGATAAGGCAAAATGCCTCGTGGTCTTTGCCAATTTGAACTGAAGGGAAAAATTCTTTCTTGACCCTACAGTCAGGTACCCGAGAAGTTTCTAAAGTATTTCATAGACTTCATAGATATCATAGACATCAGGGCTGGAAAGGACCTCGGAAGATCATCGAGTCTGGCCCTCTGCCCCAGGGGCAGGAAGTTAGCTGGGGTCAAAGGATCCCAGCAAGGTAGACGTCCAAACGTTTCTTAAAGGAGTCCAGAGTAGGTGCTTGCACCACCTCTGGAGGGAACCTATTCCAGGCCATGGGGGCTTGGACCAGGAAGAAGTTTTTCCTTATGTCCAGCCTAAAATGGTCTTGCAGGAGTTTGTGATCATTGGACCTTGTCATCCCTTGGGGCGCGCTGGTGAACAGGCGCTCCCCCAGGTCCTGATGCTTACCCCTTATAGGAGCATCAGTGCACCTTAGTCTAATCCACTCAAGCTGTGGCCTCCCAGAGGAGCAGCAGAAATCGCTCCACCAGGTCCATGGTTCTCCGTACTGTACTCACCTCTGGATACCTGCAGGCCCTACAACTCCCGGGCCAATACACACAGGCATACTCTGCAGGGAAAGGGTATCATCAGGAAGTGGTAATGATATGCCTCTGAAGACGCTCCTAGTCTGCTTAAAAAGACAGGCTTTATCTTGAGATACAACCAGATAATTGGGTGCTCAAGGCTTGGGACATCAGCAGGGCCTCTTCCATCATCAAAAATGGTGCTGTAGCGGCCACACAAGTCAACATTTCCAGCCAGCAGTACTGGCCACCCACTCAGAAAGTCCTCGGTATTACTTCCTGGCCCTACCTTTATCAACCCAGGACCAAGCCTGCCCAAAGCTGCCTGGTGAGACTCCCTGGGGCCCGCTTCTCCAGTTGTTGGTGCTCCTGTCATTGCTACTCAGTGGCACCCTGAGCCTTAAGCGGTTTCTGTCGACTCTTTAGGAGCATCAGAAGCATCTGGCTCGGTTGCCATTGCTCCTCTGGTAGGTAGAGAACATCCTCTATTTTTTCCCTTTCTACTGAAAAGCACAAGGGAAAGGACAGAACAAATGACTCCCGCCAGCTGTTCTGTCAGCTGGTATCCTCTTCTGCAGCTGCCACAATGTCCCCGCGGTCCCAGGAGCTGATCACCCACCCACCTGTAGAGCTACTGGCTTCTCCTCAGCCAAGGAAGGACTAGCACCGCACCGAAGTACTTCTTCCCTTCCTCTACGGTACAGCTAATTTTTCAAATAGAAACTCCACCTAGATCTTCCCTGCAACTGCACACTCTTTAACCTTTAATGGGATCGCTGAGAATGGATACTTGAACAAGGCTGTATGACTCGAGTCACCGTAACCCATACACGGACAGACCACAAGGTTACAGGTACCAATGATACCCTTTCAGCAACTATAACGATAGGACCTCCATATTCCCCAGGGAGGCCACAGCTACTCTTTTATTACTGAAACACAAGTGCAGGGGACATGAAGTCTTTAGGAGTCAAAGACATGTTGTCACCACAGGACCTCTTGGGTGTTTTTCCTCATCCCAGGAGACAGAAGCCTGAGAGGTGAATGTAAAACTTGCAATGATTCAGTGACAAAACTGATGGCACCCTCTTTACGTGGCTATATTACAATGTCTGCACCACTCCTCTAATACATCATCGTGACCTAAAAATTCTCGGTGGGCTACTTTCTACGTAGGAAACACCACAAATACAAAGACTTACATGGATTCCATACTAAACACACAGATAATAATAGAAAACAGCACATTTTAAATTCACTGTAGTTCTGACAACCAGCATATTAATACAGTATTCTGTAAACTCCAAGACATCATAACAGGTTATGGTATTTAAGATGGTACGTATGCAAACAGGGGCCATAGGGTGAAAAAAGAAGAGGGAATACCTGAGTTATATAGCCAGGGAAAACTTTATATCAGCATGATCTAAGGCACAGAGCTGATTCCCAAGGGAAGCAGAGTAAACTCAATTGAGCAAAGTCATTAGTAAATGTACAACAAGAAACAATCCTGAATGGGAAAGGAGGTGGCTTTGATATTTTACAGGATCTCTCCAGCTCTCACCCATATGATTCTGTGATTCACAAGCTCTCTAAATCTGTATTTATATTGGCTGATAAAAACATAGTTAAGATCTAAGCTATCTTATAAGACCACGGTTTAGGCCCCTTGATAAGAAATGTATGCAGGTTGTGTTTCATAACCATGTTCCCCTCTTACCAGTCAAGTGAAAAAGAAAAATGTGCATCATTTCCACTGAAATTCCACATACCTTTGAGTATTTAACATATAGCAGACTGAAGATGTGCTAACGTGGAAGGTGAATGATTGCTGCTACGAAAATGGGTATTACAAAAGGCTAATCTAGTCGGCGCGAGGTCGGGCACTGGGTCGATATATGTGCCAGACCTTCACCTCTAGAAACCCCTGCACAGATCTTAGTTTAGGTCACCGATTAAATGAGCCAGGTGATTTCAGCATGGCTCAGAAGAGATCTCTGTGCACATCACAATACGTGACCCAAGTGGCTAGTGCTTCTTGGAGCAGGGCAAGCACACAATTGTAAAATGAGCTGCAAGGTTGGTGGGGCTTAGACAGAGCTGTGCTGGGCAGTGTGCAGAACTGCTCACATTGCAACAGGCACAGTCGGTGGTTCGCTTTGCTAAGAATTAAAAACCATGTTTAAAAATGCTTATGGCTATGGTTTCAGCAACAAATGTCTAAATCACTGGGGAAACCATCTCCTGCGCTACTGTGCTTGTAATAATCACCTTGTACAGAGTCTAATTCTCACTATTATCACCCTAATTCAGCACATAATAAGAAGCCAGGAGGTAGAAGTTCCCTACTGGCCACTACATCACCTAACCTTTACAGTCAGGTTTCTAGTTGTGCTAAAGTAGCCTTTTCCAACAGGCACATGCTTTAAAAGTAGATTTTAAATATAATTAAATACTAGCAACATACCCTTGTAAACATCTTTTGTGTCTTGGGGAACACTGATGAAATATTCATGCACCGTTTCTAAAATCAGCTCAGAGTGGGAAAGACCTGAATTATAGATTTGTTTGTTATATGTAACACATGTACATGCTGCACGCACAAACCAGACAAAAACAGTACAAATGTACAAGCATCAACTTTGCAAGATTTTACAAAGACACACGCAGAAAATGAGAAACCACACAGTAACACACATGTTTATGCATCTGTTTATGAACTAATTTCATGCTCCAGGTAATAGCTACAGTACATATGCATTAGAAAATTAAATGTGACTTACCAGATTAGGCTGTATGAGGCAAAATGTGAACAAGTTGTTGGTAATTGTCCACTATCTTCATTCAATAAATCACATTGGGTTTGCTTTCTCGTCTGGTTCCACTTCCAGGCAGAACAAATGAATCTCTTTTTTATACTGTATAAACAATCAGAAATGAAAAAGCTTACCATAAGCAATTAGTGAAGTCCAAGATCACAGATTACATCTCAGTGCTGAACAATGAGCAAACAAAAAATCGAAGCAAACAATGTAACAGCATAGGTAAAACATTTGATGCCTTAACAGGACTTGTACACTTAGCACTGCAGCTATAGTAATGACTGGTATCTAAGGCTCTTGCTTCTGTAGTCAAAGATGCCATGACTTCTGTGTGCTCTTAGCCTGTTGTATCTCTTAAAGATGATCAGCAGCACAGCATGCAAGTAGAGCAAGTGATCATTGCCCAGAGTCAACAAAACTGCAATTGTAATCTATCCTCACAAAGTCCAAACACACACAAAAGATTAATGCAGCCACCTGAAAGCAACTCATTTTATGTTAAATTAATAAAAGAAAAGATAATCATAGCCCTACACTGTGTCTGGTGATACAAGATTGCATGTGATGTACTCTTTCTTCCTTCTTCAAGCTACCAACACAGCTGTCTGCAATCATAGCAACAAAAGCAGCAACCACATCCATAGCTATGGGACATCTGCAAGATCATTTGAAAGCTCCCAGCATGAACAGGTGATCTGTAAAGGGTATTAAACTGGGGGGAACCTGCCCCCCCCCCCAAATGATACTTAAATTCCAGGAATTAATCTGTAAATATTTCTGGTGACAGTAAAATAGCAATATTTGCAAATGAGCTTTTTAAGATCTCCAGAAGAAAATGTAAATCCCAATTTCTGTACAAAAAGCAAAACAAAGCAGTAACATATTACAAAGTCAAGACAGGTTAGAAGGCAGCAAAACCTCAGAATGCTAAAAATATGGCTGTGGTGAACCGAAGATAAACCAAATTAGGTAAGTAAAGCCTTCTGCAGGATTGCCTCTGTGGCGAAGAGGCAAAAGTCCTAGCAGGCACCTAGCAACAGAACACAATTCAGAGAGGCCATGGGCACTCGGTTCAGGTTTGTCATTGCCCGTTTCCTCTAATACGGATTGTAAAGATGTGCCGAGTTTGAGACATCTCAGGGCTATCACTGGGAGCCTGGAGTAGCTTCTCTGACTCACTGGGATCACTCCGGGTGAAACCTGCTCTTGAATCATGCTGAGCAGCTCTTGGAAATGGGAAATGGCTTTGATTCTTCTGCATTTCAAAGTGAGCTGTGCTTGCTTAGTACCCTGTCCTTAGGCCACGACAGCCGAGAGCAAAATCCAGCCTCAGGTCTGAGGTTTCTGCATGACATGGGGGGTTTGTGCTTACCCCTCCTGCAGCTGGAGAGCTGAACAGAGCCCTTGATTTCAGCCCTTTTGCAGTAGCAAAAGCTGTATTTATCCAATTATGTTCTTTGAGTCTTCATTAACCCAACACTGATAATCAATCTGGACCTGGACCAAACACTTGGATCAAAAAGCACACCCACTAGATTTTCAGGTGTTTGATGCATGGCTTGGGCCCATCTCCAGCTTTTAGTCAAAACAATGATCTCAGGAGTATTTGTCTAACAAAACACCCCACGCTTTGAGCACATATGGTGAAAATACCCAACCCAACCACCTGCAAGTCATCCTGCAACTAGGACTTGCCGATTATGTGACTACAGAGTGCAATCAGGACTGCTTCTTTCATGCTCTTGCAATCAGATGATGACCCTGCTGTACCAGTTGCAGCAATTCTTCTTGCTCCTTTCCTGAGGACCGCTGGTCAGCAGGAGAGCTGCCTGCAGTCCCTGCTCCTGGCTGACCGAACCACAGTAAAAATCTGGTATAAAATCAGTCCTTTCTGAAGAAGGTCTTTGGAGAGCAGCAGGGACCGGAGTACAGGAAGGGACTGGGCAGAGAGAGACGGGCTGCTGTGCTACTAATGAACCAGGTGGAGGGCAAACCTAGCTGGAGACTGAAGGATGGAGCTTGTAGCCTAGCAACTGCCCAGTGGGACAGTGATCTGCAAAGAGAGCATAACCACTGTGACTGGCAAGCGAGACCGTAGGCAAACTGCACAAAACAGATCATGGCACTGAGGCGTGGCTGGAGGAGCCAATCGGCCAGCATTGAAATGGCCTCTAAAGGAACGACAAACTAGACAGGGCCCCCTAGCTCTGAGAAGCCCTATGGCTTTGCATTCCCACAGTGGACAGCCTGAAGGGCCACAGCAGGAATCACCTTTTATTGGAAATGACTCAACCATTGCACCAAGGGGACTTGCACTCTTTCCTTTCTTGTAGCCCAGAGAAAATGAACAGTGCGCTGTCCGTTTGAGTTCTTCATTGGCACCCAACAGGTACTAGAGTCCTACAACCTTTGCCCCAGAGCGCGTGATACACACAGCATGCTCTGAAGTACCTGAACAAGCTTTGAAGGCCACAACGCTCCATAAGCCTCCTAGGAGATGAACAATTACAGCAGAAATCGCTGTTGATCTACTCCGCAGAACTTGTGCAGTGCACAGTAACAACTCCAGCCTGACTTTGGAAACTTGTCTGTATTGCCTGTGGGCTCAGCCCAGGAGCCTGTCCAGCCCACTCACCAAATGGATGCTCAGAGCCACTCTCAGGCTCCCCGTCCCGGGGAAGCGTATTGGCCTGCGATCAGAACTGTACTATAGTGAGCACGCTGCTGGATTTCCGGGATTTGATGCGTGTGGGGTATAGGAGCGAGCGAGCGGGCTGGGCATGCTTCTGAATAGCACACTCAAGCTCATCACAGAGGCAGGAGTGACTTGCCTTTGCTGTCAGATTGTAGACCACACAAAGGTATTGCGTGGGCTAGAGTCTGGCCTGTGGGTTGGATGTTTGACCCTGCTGTGCCTTAGAAGACAGCTGAGCGGTGCTTGTTTAAATTAAAGCAGCTGTTGTCTGATCATATCAAATGTCAAAAGGCAATGATGCTACATAGGAACTGGGGGGAAGGTTCTTGCATCCTCACTAGACCCAAGACTAAACTGCGATTTGGCTTCAACCAGAAATAGGAAAGCGAGAATGAAGGGAAGAAGTTTGCATTGGCGAAAGCTGGCACTGGAATGACAAAGCGTGTAGCACTCGCAGGTTTGCTGCCTAGTGCGGACACGATAACTCCTTCTGGTTACCCAGTCCGACCGCTCAAGGTTTCCCAGAAACCCTGAACACCTGGATTCATTCTGTTGCCAGCTGGAAACCCAGACTAGGTTTGTTGCCAGCTTTGCCAACCTTTGCCTAAGGTTTGACCCTGGAACAGTTCAGAATCACGTGAGATTTGATGGTAGGTTTGCTTTGGGGCTCACTGAAGTGCAAGACTCATCCTCAGGGGCAAATAATCCACGTGAGACTTGCAACTACCGGTGCCCGGACCACATCCTCATTTGAGCACCATTTTGTTAGTAGTGGAGGTAGGACCCACTGGTTTGACGAAGGAGAGACTAGACACAACAGACATTATTCAAAAATGTTGTCTCCCTGCTGACATGCTAAAAACAGCCCAGCACAATAGCGAGTCTTCAACACGCTCATGCATCTTTAGGGGGAAAAATAAATTCCAAGCCTGTATTTCATAATTACACAGCGGCCCCTTTATTACACCGAACTCCCTGGTTCTCCCCAGGTTATTCATTTAAGTTGCAAATATCAAACTAACATAGGGGCCAAAGCATCAGCTGGTGTAAATTAAAGTAAAGTGAGCTATGCTTATTTACCAGCAAGGCCCTCGGTGTAGCTTTATGGACTTGAAAGCCTGTCAAAGTCCTTTCAAGTCAAGAAAGGTGTAGGTGTTACAAAGGAAAACAACAGCCCTGCTTGCAGCCGAACTCGTGTGTTCTGCACTGGCATGGTTAAGCAGAGCGAACACCTTGCAGGTTTCTATAGCAAAGCCAATATGCAGAACTTTTTTGGCCACTGGCCACAGAAACCGGAGATGAGTTCTGTGAACAGCAGCACAGTCTGTTGATGAATCAACCCCCAAAGTTATCTTAGCCTTGCAGAAAGTACTTCGTGAGCTCGTTAGTTTAAAAAAAATACATTGCAAACAAGCAGGAAGATTTGCTAGCTTCTAGTTCTTCACAACATACCCAGCATATAACTTCACAAAAGCAACCACCCCTCACTAAATGGCAAAGACTGAGGTTCTACCTGTTCTGGACTTTAAATGGATTAAAAGTATTTTAAAGCAGAAGTGAAGTGTTTACATGTTTGCATCAGAAACATCTGCACATTAATCAGACAGAAGTTGGCCTCCTGACTCTTTGAACAATGGCTTTACTAGATCACATTGTAATGCCTTCGTAATAACGATTACTAGGTAAGTATTTTTAATGACCAAATTTCCAGCCTGAATTGGTTTTTCCCCCTTTTTTCAAATAATACAGAGCTGCAACAAAGTAGTAGGTAAAGAAGTATATAATGGGGAAAATGCTATACTATGAATTATGTAAATATGGTGCCATTTCCTGTTGAACGCTGGGAAACCCTTTTCAAGAACACGCATCAGAAAAAAACGTGAAGGAAGAAGAGGTTCCAGGAAAGGTAACAATAGCGGGGAGACTGAAATGGCTCAGGTCCCTTTGAGAAATACACTTACATTTGTGCTTAATATCATTATTATTCCAAAACGCACCATGTGAACTTGGATGGAGCTAGACGCTTTCCGAGTTAAGCCGTACCCAGTGCTGCCCTGAATCGGACCGTTCTCTGGGACAAAGGTCCCTCCTCATCCATTCATGAACGGGAATCGTACCACCTGGCATGTGTAACCCGCAGCAGCTTCCCAACACCAAGCACCGGATGTCCGAAGAGAAAGGTGCCTGCTGCATCCGTAAGCATGTAGCAGGGGACAAGGACACTTGCGAGTAAATTCAACCCCGACACGCACCTGGGGAAACCTGTGATCCACTCAGATGTTCCCAGAAGTACGGGAAATGCCTTGATTCCTCCAGCGAATGACGCAGGGTAAATGATGCACCCTGGGTCTTGGCATTAGCATGGCGACGTGGCCTTTGTCTCGGCTGGGAGTTCATTTTGCTCTCGCTGCCTATTTTTGAGCTAATGCACTAATCATCAGCTTCGTGCACCGCAAGTAGTTTCTACAGCCACCCATTACAGCGTGATTATAATTGATGATAAAAGATTACAGCTGACATTACAGATAAAAAATTACAGATGACAGGAGTAACAATGCATAGGCCTTACTTCAGCAAAGCACTTATGCCTAAAACCCAGTCTAGGCAAGGGGGTTGATGCATGCTCTTAGGGGCCTCACTGTAGTGGAGAACTAGTACAGCCCCAGAAAGTATTTATTGCCAAGCCTGTAGGGAAAGTATGTGCTGTCTCCAACTCAGCAATTCCTCCTCTGCTTCTTCTTTCCCCACCCACCCCATTACTTAGGGAACCCTCTGCGGGGCTACTGTTTTCAGTCTGCCTGCACCCCCTGGCACATGCCCGGGCACTGGGTAAGCTTGCAGGGCATGCCTTTGCTGCCACCAAGATTAGCAGCTTCCATGTTTAAAACTGAAAGGTCCAGCAGAGCTCTCCACAATCTTTTCCTGGTCTGTGGACCACAAATGTATTGCATGGGCTACAGTTTGGCCGATGGGTTGGATGTTTGATCTTAAAAGACAGCTGAGTGACACTGGTTTAAATTAAAGTAGCTGTTGTTTGATCATTTAAATGTCAAGAGCCAATGATGCTACATAGGAATGGGGGGAAGGTTCTTGCGTCGTCACTGGACCCAAGACTAAACTGCAATCTGGCTTCGGCCAGAAATAGGAAAGGTCTTCCTACATCTGGAGCCTTCACCTGTGGCTTGCTTGTGTAGATGAGAGCCCTGGCTGCTTTTGGAGCACAGTGCCAGTGTGAGGAGATGGGATTGCCAGTGGTCTCTGCTGCACCACTGTATAGCATGCAACAATGCCAGGCCACCCTCTGCTGCCCCCAAATCCCTGTCTCTTCATCGGTTTTCTCCCTTCATCTTAGTAGGCAGGAAGTGACCGTTTTGTGGGCAGCTGTGGGAATTGGCCTTTATGCCTTATCTTTTCGTGGCATCCTATATTTCCCAATTGTTTTCCATACAGATATTATTTGGTAGAGGATGTTTTCTTGTTCTTTCTACACTCATAGAACAAACCAAACTATTTTGCTACCATTAACTGAGAGTTATATATTGAAAACGCTTCCTGTCACATCGACTCAAGTTCATTAGTAACACGCTGAGAAAGCAGCAGCCAGAAAGCAACGTTTAGTAAAGGAAGTTATGGAAGGATCCAGGTCATAATCTCTCCAGAAGGAGAAAAAACATAGAATAAATTTCAAGAAGAGACAACTGAACTAAAGGAAACTATAAATGAGCAAGAAAGACACCTAGATTTATTTCTGGAAATGGAAAAGGAACAAGTGTCAGAGAGAACAGGAAACTGAGATTAAGATAAAGCAAACACCGTTGGACATGTTGGGTTGTCTTGGCACACAAACTCGCATATCCGTAGGCTTTGGTGATCCCATTAGTTGACCTACATACGTCAGCTGCTTAATATTTCACCTGCCTGTATTTCATACTCAATTAGCTGAATATTTCAACCGCTGTTGCCCCCAAAACACACACCACTTAAGTGACACATCACAGTAGAAGCTTTTTTGTATCCTTCTTTTGATCATGGATAAGTTAAGCTGCATGCAGCTGGCCACTAGCTGAGCTACTTCTGCATCTCAGCGGGGCACTTTCACTTTCCAGTGGATGTGAACTTTGCAGCATGCTTTATGGAGACTTCCCTTTTTTGCTGACTGACACATTTCAGCATCACGTTTCCCTGGTATGAGTCCCAGTTTTATACGCAGCAGCTACAGGAGCAGCCAAGCTGCGCAGTTCGTTGGCGATTCATTGCATTGATCAGATTTCATTCATTTCTTCGGGGCAGCGATAACATGTGTCACATTTAGGTAAGCAGAACAGGAAGCTCATATCAAAACGTGTCAACTCACAGACCATAGTGAAGTCTCCAAGTAGCTGGGCAAAAACTGAGGGGGTTTTTTCCCCATCAATCAACAGGTGGCAGCATTCACCCAATCCTTCAGAGGCAGGACAGCAGCCCATGGACCAGCAGCAACGCACACGCATCGTATTGTCCTGAGCACCTCATGTCCAGCTCTTGCTTATCAGGTGCATTTGCACAGGAGACTTCAGCAATAATCATCTGCACGTTAGCCACCGCGTCCTCAGTTAATGCAAGACACTGTCGCTCTCTTGTGGTCCGTGGAGCTGTCTGACACAAGGGGACAGCCTGACCCTACGCGTACAGGAAGCTTGCAAAACTGCTCGGAAGGGCGGCGGGGTCGCGAAGCTGGGGGCCGAGTTAGAAACCTACCTGATTGCATCAGGATTTTAAAACCTTCTTCCAGGACTCGAGTTTGTCAGTGGCAGGACTTGTCTGCCACTATCAAACCCCGCTTGCCTGACAGAACAAGGACTAGAGACGTCCCGTCCTACGAGTCCCTCTGAAGTGAACCGTCACGGGCAGCTGGCTTCCCGCACTTCACTTTGGGTGGCATCAACACCCCCCTCTGCCCCGCTGGCTGCACCTCTGCGCCCCCCAGTCTCTCACCCCATCTACTCTGCAGCCGAGCTCTCTCACTTTGGAGATCCCTGGCCTGCGACGTGGTGCAAGGGACGCAGAACTGGACTTTCCAAAACAAGGGACTTGATTAGTACATGCAAAGGTACCAAGTATGGTGGGAGAAGGGTAAAAACAATAAGGTTTTACATGCCTAATTCCCTTTACCCAGCCTTGGTTAGCTTCATATGGTGTAGCCACCCCAATCACTTCCGTGTCTGGATTGGGAGAGAAGCTGCTACCGTTTCTGTGCGTCTCTCCCCTTAGACCTATTGCTCAAGCCTCCTGCTGTTTTCTGGGGCTGGGGTCCGCTACAGATTTAACACCCACCTCTTTATAACCTTGGGGAGGGTAAATCTGTCTGGATGGAGTTGGCAGGGGTATTCCCTAAGAAACAGCATCCCTCTCACTTCAGGACTCTTATCTGCGTGCCATCGTTTCACTTTTCCTGCTTGGCTCCTTTAGCAAGCCCTTCTGATCTAATTCCTTTACCCCCCCC